TGCAGCTAATCTATAATCCTGTAATAAATCATTCTTCCTCCATTATTTCACATATATATCTTCTATTATTTATTATATGTATTTTACGATTCTACATCTCGAAATGGATTTCACGCTGATGAAATCTGTGGAATATTATTCAAATATTTGCAGTTACGCGTTATTTGTATAAATGTATACATATATATATATATATATATATATATATATATGTATATGAAATTTCATTCAATTCGATGCGGAACGCTTTGCAACCGATAATTTTGACATAAAACTTGAACGAAACGCGTCTCTTTATTCATTGATATATATTTAACGCATTATCATATAGAACGAACGTGTTCGTGGTATTACGTTGTTGAGTGTATTATACGTTACCACAATTCTCTCCGAGTAAACGTATATTTTCGCGCTATAGATAAACTGGGTCGTTTATACCCGGCTTAATTTTTCCACTCGTTTCGAACGCGTGAGAAAATTCTAGAGATACTTATCAATGTCTCCACGACATCGTATTAATTATTATTATTTTTTTTTTCTTTTTAATTCGAACGTTAGAATTCTTTTTTCAACAACAAAGATGAAAATTTAAACGCGCAAGATAACAAGAACTTGGAAGTAAAAGATGGAAATATCCGGAGCGAATTCTAGTAATACGAAACTAGTAAAAATCTTTCTTTTTTAAACTTTCGTTAAAATTCGTTTTAGCAGAGCACTTTTTAATTCCATTTATTTTTCAACTTTTGTTTTCCTTCGTTCCCGGCCAAAGTCCGGGATATTCTGTACGCGCGACGACAAACACGCGTACGATATATACGATATATAGTTTGCTCGATAAATTGCCAAAATTGAAGGATTTTTCGTGACAACACGAAAATGATTGTTCGAAGCGAATAGGAAAGCTAACAAACTTAATCGCTGTCGGAACGTGATAAAATATTTCACACGTTGTCTTTCTGAAATTTCAATCCACAGGTTTAACAGAGATTCCGTAATTGTTTCATACGCGTTTGGTGCACGCGCCGAATCGGAAATATTTGAAATATCGAACCGATCGATCAAAAATTTTTACATCGCTTCGATGTCGAGTCGACAAAGTAACCGTTATAGTTACCCTATTCCCTATTAATATTATTCCCCGTTCCTTGGGGAATTCGCTTTCCGATGAATATAAACGACCAAGTAATTTTATTGTTTACCGATGGGGGGACGGTCGATCGATAAAATTTCACCGTACTCGACGATGGACTCGTTTCTCTCGATAATAATAATATACATCGAAACGTTGATACCGCCATCGTCGGAACGCGTAGAACAATATAACGAGAGGGAGGATAATTCGATTGTATTACCAGCGACGATTACCTAAGGATTTTAACGATTCTCGTTCCCCCGACATCAATTTTCCCGACCTCTGATTTAAGTAACGGGGATCCAGTCGAACTTGGAGAACTGGAGAAACGTTTAATCTATATTGGCAAAGTTGAGCGAATACATCTCGAGTTATATTCCGAGACCCTGTAATCTGATAATAGAGAACGAAATGAATTTTCGCCGACGACGATCCGCCTAGCATTAAAACGGGCATTCTCATTACCCTTAACAGCGTAGTCCGGCCATTGCAAGATTCGAGTGTGCTCTGTATGTAGTATATATATATATATACACATATACAGGGTTGGTGTCGGATCGATTGTTTAAAATGCAAATATTGGCAAACAAAGGGGATCCCTTCGGAAGGCAGACGACGAAGTGATTCTCCATTGGAGGCGAATAAGGATCTTGGAGGATCGTGGAGAGCCGCGTGGCCAATGGCGAACTTCCAAACGAATAAATTTTCGAGGCGTGCGCGCCAACGTTAAGCCTGCATTCCAACTTAATCCGTAATTTAAGTTCCCCGGTCACGGACCGGCCGATGTATCGATTCCCATTCGGTGTGCCGGGCCAGCCTTACCCCTTAGCCGTAAGCAAACTTGAGACAAATTTCTCTCGACGAAGCGTTCTCTTTCCTCTCTCTCTCTCTTTTCATCCTCTAATTCTCTTTCTTTCAGAAAGATCGATTCCGTACGCTTCGTGCTCGTGGAGCGAATTCCAAGCTCCAGCCAATTTCTCACGGTTGATTCGAATGGTTAATTGGAACCGCTTATCGTCGTTACAGCGCGTCGTCGTCGTAGAATAGATTCCCCTCCCCTGTGTTCGCGTCGAACGATCCGTACAACACGTATGTACAACTTAATCGCGAAACCACCCTCGCCTTCTCCTCTTCCCCACCTTTCCTCTATTATCCACAGTTAATTACCGTTCGCATAATCGTCGTCACCTCCTCCATAGTGGATGGTGGAAATGGCCCCGTCGATTAGCCCGAGATTCCAGCACGCGAAACCGACCGAGATGCGGTTATAATTCTTCCCCGTCCACCGTGCCTCCTCTATATCGCGAGTTAAATGGAACGCGGCTTTATTATTAGATAGACCACTGGATGGATCTTCCTTCCCTTCCCTTCCTTTTTTCCTCTTCCTTGTTCTCCTTTTTCTATTCGGGACCGGGGAAAAATAGGCAATCTCGTTGAGTGAACGGCCGCGATCCACGGGCGCGACGTACGGGTACATGACGCAACGTGACGTCATCAGCGTTACTTTTAAAGGATACCGGTGTAGTATGTAAATTTTGTAAGTGCTCGGATAAAACGGATAGCCACTATGTACGCTCGGCGGGAGTTACGCGAGCCGAGGGCATCATCCACCGAGCCATCCACGCTGGAAATTGAATTTTGGTCGGGGAACGATAACTGTTTACATTTCTAATCCGCTAGACAGAAGGCGGGGAGGGGATAGCGCCGCCTTGTAATCCGTACTTTAGCTCCGATTTTGGATCCGGCGGCGCAACTAAATGTAAATTATCGTGATATTAAAAAGAAACGGCGAGATCCGTGTCCCTTTCGTGTAAATTAAATCTTCGCGATTGGGATGAAGGGTTTTAAGGGTTTTGCCGCTTCGTCGACATTCGATCCCTGTAAATAATGGTCCGACGAATTTCGATATTAATAAATTGGGGCGAAACGTCGATTCGTCGCGTATCGGGCGAAAGGAGAAAATTGGATATCTGTCCACGCGATAGCGCACGTGTGCATCGCGATGCCTCGTTAGAACGTGAACTTCCGGGCAGCAGAGAGAGAGAGAGAGAGAGAGAGAGGGAATTATTAGATCTTAACGATCTCTCGCTGGAGAGAGATTCAGACGAGGTGACGAAAGAACCGAAGCGAAACACCGGAGGCGTCGTCGTAAAATTCTCCTCGAAATTATTCTCGCGCGTAATTAAAGTGCATAACTTTCGAAAAATGGTTCGAAAGGATGATTTGCGAATGATATGGTTCAACGACAACCGATTCGTCATGGACGGGATCTTTCGAGACTCGGTTTATCCATCGATCAAGACCTGAACTCGCGTGTTAAACCCTTCCACGCGTTATTTATCGAATTCCTCGATTATCCTGCCTCTTGTCCGTATAAATCGTGATTTAGGAGGAGGGGAAGAGATCGCGTCTGCACAGGGCGGCGTAACGACCTGTTCCCTCCGCGTTAACGACCCAGCCCGAAACTTCCTTTCCTTCCGTTCAAGCGCGGTCCTCTGATCGAAACGAAAAGGAAATCCGTCTCTCCTCTTCACGGCCCCGCCACGAATTTTTCCTGCTCCACTTCATAAACGTATAATTTGTTCGGCGGTTCGGTTTGAAAACTGTTACTCTTTCGAAGAACGGTAAATTCGTCGGTGTCAAGAAAGGGATAATGGAAAAAGGGTATCCGTAACCCTGTCCATCCACCCTGTTCCACCCTTCTTCCACGCTACGCTTTCTTCCGCCAGTTCTTTTTTTATTTCCCTACCACGTTCCGGGCCATCTAGCTTGGGAGACTATAAAACGCTTCACCCTCTCCTCCTCGCCCTCCCTCTTTGTCTTGTCTCCGTTTCTCGCTCCTTTTTAACCTGCATCCACCTGTGTGTGTCTCGTTTCACAATAACGAGAGCTACGCTCGGTCCTGTGTTTTTTTTTTTCTCTTTTTTTTTTTTTTTTTTTTTTTTTTTTCCCACCATGTCCCTTCTTTCCTTTCCACCACTTCGGCGGTTTTCACCCTTCGTCGCCTCGTAAACTCCGAAGTGCAAACGGGAGATACGTTCGGGGAGAACGCTTGTTGGTCACGAGATGTTGTCATCGGGTCGGAAATTCCATTTAACCGGAGGACTGAAATACGCGTGTCGTTCCAAGCTCGTTGCACGCCCGCCGTTGCACGTCGATCAGAATGATACGATAATTGAACCGATAAGGTAATTTTCCATGGAACGCTGAGATGAATCGTTGCGTTGCGGATCGAGAAACGTTCGTCTGAAATTCTTTTGAAATTTAATGCGTTAATTTCTGCTTTTTTTCTTTCTCTCCCTCTCTCTTTCTCTGTTTCGAGCGACCTCCGCGTCGCGTAGCCAGTTCAACGATCATATCGATGCTCGGCGCGGGGTCTCGTTTTCGAAATGGAATTTAAAGAACCGGTAGGATTTTTTTTCCCCGGGGAAAATAGAAGTGACGTTTCCAGTCGTGTGTTACCTACGAGAAGAGAAAGAGAGGAGTAAAAAAATATAGGGGGAAAATATATATATATATATATATAAAACGTTTTTCGCTTGGAGCGAAAATATTTTTCATATTTCGAGAATTTTTCAGAGACGCGTCACGTTATTTTCCGCCTCGAATGCATCGTTGTTATTTCACGTCAAACGACATAAGTTGGAACTCGAAACTTGAATGATTAACGAAAACACGAATATCGGACGTATCGTATCGTAATACGTTCGTTAATCTAGGATGGTAAAAAAAAAAAAAAAGGAAATTTCAATTGGAAAGAATTGCTCGGAAAAAAGAAAAATAGAAGAGTCGCTCGATGGGAAGAGGATGGATGAAATTTCGTTATTTCGGAGATAATAGACGAGTGGAGATATCGTATACCACTTACCTCGGTTGCGTTCTCGTGTGGTCTATCTATCGCAGACAGAATAGTAGCAAGGTTGGTTCGTTGGTTTACAGTTAGACAGGATGGCGGTCGTGTATCCATCGTTGATGGCTCGTGTTAAACCTACCTTAGAAGCTGGGTACGCGCGACCCGTTTGCATGTCGGCTTCTCGCAAAGCTGGTCAATACGAGCGCGACCGTACGCACACAGCTTTCCTTCTCCCTCGGCTCTCCCGTTCGTTCGTTTCGTTCACCTTTTCTTAAGAGAAAAAAAGATGCGCATTACAAATGCTGTACTCGAGATTGCAATGGAACGGGATGGCCGGCAATTAATTTTCTCGGATACTTTTCCCGGATTAAATTCTTCTCGTCTCACGCATTCGAACGAAATTGTGAAATTTTTTTTAATCGATTCTTGATGAAAATTGACGGAGGTGATCGTAAAAAAAAAAAAGCTAAAAATATACGTGAAAATACACGTGTACAAATACAAGAGCGTAATAGACACTCGTGAGCGCTCGAACGTCCGTGTACTAAAAGTTTCAGGGATCGAGGTGCGATTTATACACGTGAAACAAAAACCCCTAACAGGGGAGTCAAAGTTTAGAATTGGAAGCTCGAATGTATACGACGTGAACGAGCGTTTTGACACGTGGTCGAGGAAATCGTTGGTAAAAATGGGACAAAAGTTTCAAACTCGAATCGAAACGTCGCGAAATTTTTTTTTTCTTTTTTCTCTCTTTCTCCCCCCTCCCTCCTTCGATTCAATTCGAACGAGGCGCGTTAACTTTAGTAGCTCGTTAATACTTACCATTCCTTTCGTTCTTCGATCTCTCTCTCTCTCTCTTTCTCTCTCTCTCTCTCTCCTTGCGGAAATTGGCCCGAAAACACAGTTTCCCGTGGTTTTTCACGATTCTCTATCCCCGTTGAGAGCGGGGGAACGCCGCGAGCAGTGAATTTCAAGCGTGGTAAAACTTGGGAAAAGATGTCTTGTCCGTGGCCAGTTAACCTTAATTTGGAGCGCGGCCAGTTCACGGTTATTAAGAATCGACGAACCATATCGCGACCGTTTAAAGTTTCAATTCTCTCCGTGCCCCTGCGAGAATTCGACAACGTGAAGTCTCCAAAGTACCAGAAATGATATATATATATAAATGAAATTCGAAATATTCCTTTGTCGAATGTTTGTCGAATTCAATAAACGTTGGAACAATTTTAAAAAGCACCATATGCGTGTTCTTCTAAATATATTTCGTTTAATATCTTCAACGTTTCTTATATGGGGAGGGGATACGTGAAATTTAAATTTCAAATATTTCCTATTCCGATTCGATTCAACAACACTGACTTTGTTTAAAGTCAATATCGTTCTCGAGACGCGCGCGAGATACGTTTTGCGGTTGTCACGATAAGAAGAACGCGAGATCGCGTTAAAAAAAGGAGAAAAGAGAAGAAAAGAAAAGAAAAAAGTGGCGTGATCGGTTAATCGGGGTAATTATGAACGTTACGCGCGTTCCTTGAAACGTTCGTTGAAACGCTCGATTCGTTAATTGGCGAGCTAGCGAGTTAGTCACGTAACTAGCGTTCAACGGGCTAATGAAAGTCCCAAGTTTTTCCAACCATTTTAAAACTTTCCATTTAACGAGGGGCGCGATCGATAAAATTTACCGATCCTGGCCCTTCGCGATTACCGGATGTCGAGGATGCGTTCACAAACGCGTCGAATGAACGGAAGAAAGAGGGGATGGGAAGAAGGAAACGAGGTCGAGAAATAATCGCATAATTGATGGTGAAACGCGTTAATTTCACGGGGGGGGAAAGGTGGCTCGTTTCGATATTTGTCGACCCGTTTCTGATTACCGTCAACAAGAAAGGAGAAGAGGGGATGCATCGAGGTGGCAGTAATGCAGCAACGGTGAAAGGGTGTCAACGGTGGCAACGAGGTCCTTTGACGCTCGTTAGTTACTTATCCATCGGGCAAAGGGTGGATGGCCGCGATAAAGGATCGTCATAGACTCGGCTCGAGGTGAGTACGAATAAAGGGCAGGCCGGGAAGGAAACGCGTTGAAAAAGCTACCGTCTGTCTTCCGGGATCCGCTCATTTTCACGGAACGACCTGAAAGATAGAAATTGCGGCAAAGGAACACAGAGAGAGAGAGAGAGAGAGAGAGAGAGAGAGAAAGAGTGAGAGAAAGAGAGAGAACGAGAGCCTCGAAGAATCTATACATCTGAAAGCTAGTAGGGAACACGGGCAGCTGGTTGGTAGCGTTGGTAGCGTTGGTAGCTTCGTTAAAAAGCCTCGAAACACACACTCTCCATTCTACCCTTCCTTTCAACGTTTTTTATTTATTAAACATCGTAATATATTATAGTATGTACAATAATATACCTATCTAATCTAACGATATCACTGCGATTACAGATTCTTCCATGGTTTTCGTTTTTTTTTTTTTTATTCTTCTCCCTCTCGTCAATTCGTTCGATTGCGTCGTGAATGCATTTTTTTCGCTTGGCATCGTCGATTAAAGGAATTACAGGCTGCCGAGTGTGCGTGAATGTGTATGTATGTGTGCGCACGTGTATGCGTGTATATGTGTGTGGACAGACGACGAGCCATTTTCGTATTTAATCTCTTTCTACTCTTCTTCGTGCATTGTTCTCTTCTCTTGGTAATCGCTCGCACCGCTCGATGTTTCCGTTTCCGCTATACCGTGACATTTCAACTTTCCGTTTATTTAGCCAGTCTCTGTTGTGTGTCGACGACGCGGCAGGAGAAACATGGCGTCGTTCGTCGTTCGCGAAACCGAGCGAAACTAACGCGTCGAAAGAGAGCCAGGAGAAAAATGAATCGATGCCTTTTTTCCCTTTTTCTTTCTTTCTTTCTTTCTTTCTTTCTTTCTTTTTTTTTCTTTTCTTATTTGTCCATTTGCCTCTTTCCCACCAGTATCGACATCACTTTCTCTTTCAGGGAGGACCAGAAAAGACCGCCGGAACGAAGTTGGCGGGGACGCGCGAAGGGCAAAGCGATTCGGGCGCAGTCGAAGGAGGGAGGGGAGGCATCGAAGCCGACCACCGGACTGTGACAAGACCCGATTCGAATTCTATTCGCAGCCCCGAAATTCAATTCGCGACGAGGTTGTTGTATCTATCCGGAACCAACGAAATCCACAGTTTTGCTCCACGCGTCTCTTCTCCTTTCCGTTTCCCTCCGCGTTCACCTCCGCGTCTCGCGTTTCATCGATGCTCGCGATTCTAGAGAAACCGGTTCCTTTGATCATTCCTTTTTTTTTTCTTTTAAAGCGACTCTCTATCTTCGTTTCAACGGATACTCGAAAACGATTTATCGAAATTGAATAACGCGGGACTTAATCGTTAAATTATTTGTAGGAAAAACAGTAAAAATCCTCGATCTTCTCGATTTCTTCTCGATCTTATTCACGCGGAGAACTATTGTCTTATGTGTATATATATATATATACTTTATTTCATCTTACTTATCTTAAATTTTCGTTTCGGCAGTGGGAATGTATGCAATTTTTTTTTTTTCGCTTTCTTAACTTCAACCGATCTCGTCGCAAATTTAATGAAAATAAAAATCACCGAATTCGGATTTTTCGTTTTCGAAACGCAGAGAAGATTTATGGAAGGGGCGGCAGCACTCGAGTAACGGGGGATTCGAGTTAGCTTGGAAACGTTAGCTACACTCGATCGGTGAGGGATAAAAAAGAAAACGAGGGTAAAATCGGCGCGAGCGCAAATAAACGGGACTCGCGAGGCGAGGGATCGAATCTGTTGCCGCTTAATGGACCACGACCTGTCCGTTAGTTTCGCGTAGTTTTCGAAACCCGAGCTAACTTTTCCCCCGTTCCATTCCTCGAGGCACACGCGCGATTATTCTCCTCCCCTCTCGAGAATCGTGGCGCGAGTCGTTTCATCTTCAACTTCCTTCGTCGCTTCGCCCTCGACCAAAACTTGCCTCGCTGAACGTTGACTGGCTCCCGGATCGAGTTTCGAGGTTATACGCTATTTTTCTCTCCTTCTCCTCCTCCTCCTCCTCCTTCTCCTTTTCCTTCTCCTCGTAACTCTTACCACTCTCTGGATCCCTTTCGACCGTTCGCGCCCGCATAATCCAAGTAGAAAGAACCACCACCGTGGGTAGGTAGGAACGCGAAGGTGTGTTGTGACGAGGGGATGGAGGAGGGTGGTAGGATTCGATCGAACGAAGGATACTTTCTGCAGGGATGTCTGCGAGGATGATCACACATCGAAACACACACAAATAGAAAGTGAAAACTCGTCGTCGTTTTCAATTTCGTATCCGCGGACGGGGTAGTGGATCCCGGTACCCTCCGATGATCGGCGAACCCTATTATATATATATATATACCAGCGCGTTTAAAAAAAAAGAGAAAAAAAATGACGTCGAGGTGCGCAGAATCGCAGGCGCGGGGAGGAGGTTCGAGAAGGAAGGAGTAATGTACACGGTAGTAAAAAGGAGTTTCGTTTGGAAAAAGGAGTTTCGGCGGAGAAGGGGATACGATATTTCGAAAGTTGGGCGGTACACGGTTCGCGGATCATCGAACGGGAGGAACGACGATAAAGTTTGTACACGAGGGTTGCTCGAAGCTGGATCATCGCCTTCCACGAGCGGCGGAGAGTAATTCGGTGCCGTGGCTCCGCCCGTTTACGAGGGAAATCAGCGATGATCCGGCGTTCGATTATCGATCCGTATCGAAGGATCGTGGTTGGGATGGGAGCTACACCGCCCGCGAAACTCGATTTCCACGCGGCAAACGCGATTACTAGATCCAGCGCGCGTCGGTGTTCAGGTGAGAGAGAGTTGGAGCGGCGCGCGTTTAAGCGGCGTGTAACTATCATCACCCGGCCACAATTTATAATACAGACGCTATGTACAGGTTCCCGTCGTACTTCGCCGTCGACGCTAATACCGACGGCAAACGGACAGATCTAAACGACATCGGTTCGTCACCCGGTTTGTGTTAACTTTCGATCACCAATCGTCTTTCCCGATGTCGTCCTTTCCCTTCCTCTCGTTAAGTCCGATCTTCTCGATTACCTTTCTCTCATCGTCGCGCGAGACGAAGAGGTGCGCGCGATCGTGTGATTCCTTGCAGGAAGCGTTTTACGTTCGGCGTGTGTACGATTTTATACAGTGAATTGCGACGCTTATGGAACGGCTTATGGAATGGGTAAAGTAAAACGATATGAAAAAATCAAAATTTGTTATCATGCTCCAGTTTTCCCTTACCTTACCCCTGAATTTTCGCAACGTTTAGACTAATTCGGCTTTCACCGCGGGTAAATTGGTCGACCGGTGATCGCGATATCACGAACGAATTTGTATAAAAGCCAATCACGAAACCAATCCCGCGAGCTAAAAATCACGGAATTCATCGAATATTTGGCTCCCCTCCTCCCCGTTGGACGCCGGGAATCGATAAGCTTGATAAACGGAACGATCGTAAACATTCGGAAAATTAGAGCGCGGGAACGCGAGTTCCGCTCGGTCGAAGGGCGACCGATTATTTTCGAGCGGCTCGGCAACAATAATTTCCCGTAATCGTTTTCAATCGCGAAACGTTTGCATTTCTGAGTGTTAATCGGGTGGAAAGGATTTGCTGCGACCGTTTTTCGTCCACCGTGGCGACAATGATGCATGCCCGACCGTGGTCGCCGTAATGCGCTCGTAACGTTTAACGTTCGGTATCGCGATCGGTAACGCACCGTGTAAAACCGTGTCAACGCGTACCGTGCCGCTTCAATGTTTTCAATGTAAAAATCACTGGCTCGCATCGAAAGGATTTCTCTCCCCGAATAAACATCCTTCCCGGATTCTTTCATTCGTTTGTTCCTCGCGCGCGATACTTTTCCACGTCACGGTTAACCAACGGGCTGCGCATCCCGCGATCCCAAGAAAGCTCGAGGTTCTTACGAGTCGAGTCACGTTTTATTTCCCGGCGAACGTTGTCTCGCGCATCCCCCCATTCCGAACATTCGACCGATCGTAAAACGTACCGCGAGACGGTTGTTTCTCGCTTTTACGCCTCTCGTAAATCGGTTCCTCTCACTGCGGATTATCGAACCCCTCCTTTTCCCCTTCCAACAAAGAAAACCAGAAGAAATTTCTCTTCCCGGGCCCATCTTCGGTATTAGCGTCGACGTTCCCTTAATTTAAACGTTTCCTCTCTCTCTCTCTCTCCCTCTCCCTCTCCCTCTCTCTCTCTCTCTCTCTCTCTCTCTCTCTCTCTCTCTCTTTCTCTCTCTCTCTCCTTTTTCTCGACCGAGAGACACGTACGATACCTTCCGATATCTTCTTCTCGGGACACGCACACACATCGATCTCGATTCTTGGGACGAATCGAGCGACTCGTCTCCACGACTCGTTTCTCCTCGATCGTTCGCTATCGATGGCGTCCAAGACGAGACGAAACACGCGCACCATTATTCCATTCGACACCCAATCTCGTCGAATCTCTTTCGTTTTCGTCGAAACGACATCGAAAACTACATCGTTCGCATCGTTCTCTTTCTACTCGCATGACCGAATGACCAACATCAATTCGCGAATATCTCACCGGCAGGTACGAATATGTATACGATTCGATCGAACGTGAATGCGTTCCTCTTTTTCTCCAAGAAACGAATACCGCTGAGTTTCTTGTGGGCAGTTTTGTGTAATTCGTAATTCGCGGTGCTCGATGCGTCTCCACGCATCGGTCGCGAACACATGTTTTTCTCTCCAACGACCTCTCTCGTCGGTTCCCGTCGCGCGTCAACGCGATTAAATCCGACGGATTGATCGGTGGCCCGTCTCTAAGAAAATAAGGCGTCACAGCGACGATTCGTGCGACTCGTTACGTGTTCGACGTTTACACCGAGGAGGATATGTACAAAATGATCAGAGACACCAAAAGACAGCTCGAGGATAAAATAGGTCCCGCCGTTCCGGTCTGCATCGCTTCTGGTCGCTCGCCTGCAACAAACAAGCCATCTCGTTCTCATCCGCTCCGTATTCGCCACGTCTTCTTTTGTCAAACCCTGCCTTCTTATTGTTATTTGAACTGCGTATATATATATGTGTGTGTGTGTATATATCGAAACACGGCAGTCACGCGTAGAATGCTTTGTCTCGATCTTCTCGCGCGACGCCCTTGTATTAAATTAATATTGGAAGTTCTGGAATTCCTGGGAGTCAGCTTGCGGCGAATCGGGATCAAGGGTTAAACGTTCTTTGATTAGGAGTCGGTTCGTATCCGAGGATCACGCGGTATTCGCATTTATGTATCGTTAGATTAAATCGCTTTGGATATTAGATCGAAATTTTCCTTCTTTTGTCGCCTAATTTGCGCGCGTGTTTCGTTTACAATTATTTAACCTGAATTAACCAGGAGAGTAACTAGCTGTGAATTGTCGCGAATAATCAGGATATTTGTTGAAACGAAATATTCTATTAATCGTGAGTTATCGTAAAATATACTGTCGTATAAATTTTAACTCTGGAGGAAACAAATTTACGACACAAAATATCAGTGGAAATATTTTTTTTTTTTTTTCAGTTTAAATTTAATTTTATTCCTCTTGATCCTTTATTTTCGAATAATAAAACTTAAGAAACAGGTAGAGAAAGTTATTTTTATCATTGCATTTCAAAGAAGGTTGTATACGCGGTTAGTAAAGTACGGTTCGAGAAAACATTGACATTTCACGTGCGCCGTGAAAAATAAATCTAATAAATAAATCATACATTTTTCTTTTTTTTTTCTCTCTTTTTCCTCCTCGATATAATTTCTATTCACGGAAATTTTCAATGCGCCTCGGTCGGCCGGCTTTAAAGAAGCTTTTCAAGGAAGGAAAAAAGAGATTTTCACGGTGTACGCGTCACTTTCGGAAATAAAACTTGGCGAGATTGTTTGCGTTCCTCCGTGAAGCGAAGGTATTCGAACGTGGCAAAGAATAATCCGGATTATTCATTCCACCCGATAGAATTGTATCGCTTCGTTTTCGAATCAAAGTGTTTGAGAAGTGTTCGGAAAGAAGAGCGGGCGGACGAGATGAAAATAAAGGGAAGAGGAGGGGTGGGGGAGAGAGGACGAGTTTTAAAAGTTAAAGCAGACGATGTCGTGGGAAATATCTTTTCGCTTCGTTTTTTTTTTTTTTTTTATTTCTATTTCGCCAAAACGATACCAACAAGTTTCGAAATACCGAAAATTTCCTCGCTTGCTTCCTTCTTCCTCGCGCGATACTAATAGGGAGATATATAGTTGTATACTTTTGCGACAGACCGAAATCCAATTTCCGCTCGATTTCGTTCCGCAGAATTTCTTCCAACGATCCGCGGACCGTTGGAAGTTCTCGTCATTTGCATACGCGCTCGGATATACACCCTTCGTTATCTATATAATCGTTCCTCTCGAATACGTATTCGCGAGGATCGACATCGACTTGCATCAACCCCCACGAAGAATTTTTAATATCGATAATAATTTCGTTCCGGGCCGAACTAAGTATTCGCTCTTGCGCGCGAATAAAATTTCTCAAGCAAAACGGTAAATAAAGGAAAGAAAGAGAAACAACGACGGATCACGAGCACGGTCGAAACCGAGTATTTTATTAAAAAATACTTGGGGAGAATCGTGATGAAAAAATTCGGAAAAAATCTCGTTCCAACTTGGTTGCGTCGAGGCGGCAACCAAGTATTTTCTTCGCGGTCGCGCGCGTCCTATAGGGAAGGGGTGGGGGGAGGGATCACGGGGAGGGGGGCAAACATTCTCGCCACGGTGAAACTCGTTTGCTCCGCGGCAGGATCGGTGAATAAACATGCAAAACTTGGCGGCCGCGTAATTGCCAAGTTCTGATAGGCTGATTGCCTGAGAGGACCCAGATGCCGGGTCGAATCTGGGAGAGGACAGGTGCGCGAGATACGAGGTCAAATTTTCCAGCTGCCAGCCGAACCGAAACAAGCCCGCGAATTAATATAGTATACCGGTTCCACGAGAAAATTAAAGCGGATGCATACGGTTTATGCAAAAACGTCCCCCTCCCCTCCCTTTGGTTCGCGGGGGATTTCGGGATACCGTCATCGAAACTTAACTCGGACACGATCCGTTTTTTTTTCTTTTTTCTTTTTTTTTTTTTTTTTTTGAATCGGCGATCGTAAAACTCGTTCAACGACAAATTTTGCTTAACGTCGACGATGATTTCAACGGCGAAATTATTTGGTTTCACTTTTTTTTTTTTTTTTTGTTTTTTTTTTTTAGTGACTCGCTTGCAAAAATCGCGCGCAATTTCGTACAGCTCGAACCTATGTGCGAGGCCATAAATAACCCCGCGTGTTATAAAAGTCGAACCACCCGTTTGTTTGAAAAATGTTGCTGTTTTTTTTTTTTTTTTTTTTTGCGGAGAATCGGTATAAATATTCGATCGAGGGAAAAAATTCGTTATTGCGGATGCGAATGTTATACGCTTTCATATTTTGTTCCACTTATTACGCGTGTTTATTTCCATTTTTCCTTTCTCTCTTTTTTTTTTTCTTTTCTTTTCTCTCTTTTACTCCATCTCGATCCACGTTCCGCGTCGAGAGATGGACGATCGTATATTATAAGATTAGGGGATATCGCGGGTTGTAAACACTCACCATTTAGGACATGAACTTTGATGGACGCCGTATTGGCGTTGCTCGGTTTGCAGCTGTACTCCCCGGAGTCGGAGGGTTGCGCCGTCTGGATAAGGAGCCAAGACGTGGTGACGTCGCCACCCTTTTCGGTTATCACCGAGACACCGCCCCTGGGACTGTCGTAGCTCAAAACATGCTCGTTGTAGTACCAAAAGATGTAAGCTGGTGGCTCCGAGCTGAAGTGTATGGCGCACGTCAAATTTATCGTGCTCCCCGCGCCAACGTACAGATCCGGACCTCCGAGTATCGTCGCTGTCGGTACTGCGATAAAAAAAGAACCACTCTGTTTCTCTTTCCCTTTCCCTTTCTCCCTTTCTCCCTTTCTCTTTTCCCTTCCTTCCCACCATCCCGAAAGTATCGTTTCCACTCACGTGTACGCGTAAAGAGATAGGTAGGAGAATTTTGTTCGAGAAGAGAGAAACTCTACCCTCGAGAGGAGAACGAGAGAGTGCTTTGGGCCGATCTCGCGCCAACTAACGAGCCGAAACTTTTCATTCGAGAGCCAAGGTCATAGCAATTGAAATAACGAGACCCGGCTTCGTATCGCGCTCTTCAAAATTACGTTCACGAGTCTCTCTCTCTCTCTCTCTTTTTCTCTCTCCTTCGAAGACGACTCGTGAACGCGATCAATCCGAGGTTTCATACATTCGGATCGTTAATTTACGAAACGGTTTCGAGTTCGCGATGGACAAGAAAGGGAGTGTTTATCATGCATTCGAGTCTAATTTTGCTGTTATTAAAAATTGTGGTCGTTTGCTGTAAGGGTATATAACGATGGCGGAGACTTACTGACAACGTTCAAGTAGAATTGATGCGACTTGACGGGGATGGTGGAGATCTGACATTCGTAGAGTCCCTGGTCTCTCTTCTGCGTCCATTTTATGCAAAGAGTCCATTCAGACCACTCGCTATTTTGGCCTGTATTTTGTCTGTGAAGCGCTTGGAATCGCTGATCGCTCGTGTAGGTATACGCCCCCGCCGTTAAAATGTGAATATCTCTGTGCCTCACCCAGGATACCTTTGCAAACGGAATTCCAAAGTGGGGTCAATGATGGTAATCGGGAGAGATCGAATAGAAGGGGAAGAGGTTTTGAATAGACGCGATTGATTGACTGAATTTCGTTGATAATGACGTACGATTCCCACCTAACTTTAAGCGATTTAATCCTCCAAACTTTTATGCGGATTCGGTAAGGGATAACTGTTGTTTCAAAGTTCAAGGGATGATCCATTTAAGTGATTATGCCTCTTCTGCGCAAAATTTTTATCAACTTTATTTCGAGTATTCGATTTTTCCTCGATAATCTAAAAAAAAAGAGAAAAGAAAAAGAAATATAAAATACGAAAGCTAGGAAAAACTTTTAAACTCGAGTAAACATCGAAATGTTTACTTTAAAATCCAAAAATGTCGGACTACAAACTACCGAAAAATTAAACTACCGAAGAAATATACACACAATGAATACGTGGCAAAAAATTTTGGAAAATTTTCTAAAAGAAAATATTCCCGAAAAATCACGCAGAGGGACGATGAACATCGTCGGCCGATCAATATTTCAGATTCGTTTCGTCGTGGCGCGAAATAAATATTTCAAGGTGCGAAGAAGAGAAGAAGAAGAAGAAGAAGAAGAAGAAGAAGAAGAAAAGCAGAGCCTCGGGAAGAAACAGAGTCGCGTTTCCGCGCTATCCGTAAACGTGCCACGGCATAATACATAATTCGATGAGGACATTTAAAGTTTTCGGGAGGGGAAGGGGAGGGGAGTCGAGGTGAACTTTCGCGTTCTTCGGGGACGACGGTAATTTCATCAGGCCGGGTACATGTGCTCGCTCTTGGTGTGGCGGGCTCTTGCGGGGAAACGAGAAAGTAATCCGAGCAAACTCCGAGCAAAGTCCATCTCTTTGCCCCGAAGAAACTTCGTTCGCAGGGGCGCTGAAATCCCCGAAACGGAAAAACCGAAGCCCTCCCCCTTCTCGTCCATTTATAGACGAATCGGTGAATCGACCTCGACCGACAAGCAGAATTTCATCCCTTATCGTATTGCGTTATCACATTACGTTCTCTTCCAGGAGGGTGGAGGGGGCAGAGAACTGAACTTCCCGCGGAAAAGAAAAAAAGGCAAAAGACGAAACGACGGTGGCGAGTAAAAATGGCAAAAAATTTTGAAAAATGAAACGCCTAGTACGAATCGCCTTTCGAAAATGGAACGATTCAATCCACTGGCGGTGCTCCTTTCCACTCGGGATTCGATTCAACCTCGTTCTCGGAGTAATGCTACTGAGGGAACGTTTCGTGGCTAGGGAGGAGGGGGAGAAAAGGCTGCACGAGGCATGCGCCCTTTCTCTCTCTCTCTCTCTCTCTCTCTCTCTTTCTCTCTCTCTCTCTCTCTCTCTCTCTCTCTCTCTCTCTCTCTCTCTCTCGTTCCATTTTCGAGAGATCGAGCTTGTGTCTTTCTCGCGAGGATAATTCCGGGTAATCTTGAACCGGGCCGGCCCAGAGAGATACCTCGTTTAGATAAATCGTAACCGGGACGATGGATGGGACGAAGGGAGAAATTATTTTGTAGCCTATTGGCGCGAAAAATGAAGTTTCCCGTCGAGAGGGCTATTAGGGCCGCGATGGGGGGAAGGGTAATCGGATGACCGAGCCTCTGATCCGGCTCTGGCCAATCTGAAACGGGCGAAACGCGTCGGGCCGTCGCGTTGCTTCGATTTTCGCGTCCAATCGAACATTAATAAAATTCATTTCTCTACTTTTAAATTCTTTTAAATCGAACCGAGAGATGCTTTCTTCTTGAAAATATAAATATCTCGAAAATTTTAATCCTTTGCGGATAAATTGATATTATTTCGATAAAAGATTCGATATGAAAAATATTAGACGTAATATGCGTTGTATCGTGACAAGGGGGAAAAAATGTGTAAGAGTTTGTAAGTCTGATCGCGTTAACGTTATCAGACTTTCTTCTTTTCACAGCTACGCAAGAGTGCTGGTAACTGTATAATATATTTCTCGACCGATCGAATTCGCAGAGGGTTAACTTTACGCAAAAAAAAAAAAAAAAAAAGAGAGAAAAAAATAAGTGGGCTTATCGCGACGCTTGTAGTTTCTGAAAAGTATATGTCCGCGATAAAATTGGAGTCGTAAAAGCGGCGGTATCACGCGCGGGCATAAACAATGAGTTTTATTGGTTCGTCGACCCGCCCGTGCACTTGACTCCCGACAAAACGGGTGTACAATAGCTGTCGTAACAACGACGAGACATTAATAATCGGTGGTTGGAAGTTGGTGCACAAAGGGGTGGGTCATTTGCGCGAGAAAGCTCGCCAAAAGCTTGTGAATCTTCTCCCCGCCGCGCCGATATATATCCTCCTCCGCGATTCATCTCCCGATGTAAACCGGAAAAGGCAGCTGTTTCCTCCAACTTCGAATCCGCGCGAAGCCAGGGCTCGAGTGTTGGCGCTACTTAGCGTATTTACTCGAACAAGTTTACGTCTCCATCCTGTGCGACGAGCTCGTTTCTCGACGGCGTTCTAGGAATAAGAGGAACTTGGCAATCGAAACGAGCCAAGGGAGTCGACCGAGCTTCCACGAGTCTAGCTACGCGTTCGAAACGACCAATGTCGAACGTTTGAGCAACGTTTGCGAAGACGTAACTGCAAATGAGTCCTTGTTTGCTTGCTCTCGAGAACGTGCGAATACCTCTTTGAGAGTAAAATTCTCGAATACACCGCGTTGAAAATTCGGTCAATCGCTCTCTAATTTCTTTTTTTCCTTCTTTAAAAATTTTTTCTAGAAAAATAAGTTTCTAAAAAGAGTTACTCTCTGAAGCGTATTTGCGCTCTTGCGACCGCGGTAGTTCATCGATCTTTTGATTTTCTATAAAATTGATAGCAAGAGACAAAGTTTCGCTGGCTGATGAATATTACGAGAAACGAAGTCCGTCCGGATGGAGTGGAAAGGGGCGAGAATCACGTATCGAGGAGATCCGTATGACCTAGCAATTCGGACGTGGAGCAAATGGAATTTCACGGCTGACGCGGAACAACGAATGAAATTAAGGTACGTCGGCCCTCCACCGTAATAATGAATTTACTTAATACGGTTTACACACTAGGAAATACTGAAATTGAACGGCCTTGTTTCCATCCCCGGATCAACAATCTCGTTTGCGCGATCTTTGTTTCGCCCCTTCTTCATTCGCCCCTCCAACTTTATTTCTGCGAAGATATTAATCAAACAATCCCAATGTTTGTATCTACAAAGATATTCACCGACACGAAACTTCGATTTAACGATAAACTACTAATTTTATTTGAAAAGGAAGCGGACAATCTGGCCGAAAAATAGATCAGGTATTACCTGGATTTTCTCCTACCTGTTGAAAATCTCAATATCCAATCTTTCTCCGGATTCTAAAATTCCGAATTTGAAGGTATTTAAATTATTTGGCTCTATTTGAACTGGTATCTTCTATCTTTGATATCTCGAAATATCGGGACGCTTAGCAACGTATGCTCTACCAAAATACCATCTCGCTAAGAAACTCGATGCTAACGAACTACGTGATCTTGAATCCTCTTAACATTACCATATCTAACGTTGCGGCCGAGAGAAAATTGACAAGAGAAAAATAGGTCGTATCGTAAGATATGGCGAAACCATGACTCGCTTATAACTCGACGGATACCTCGAGTATCCCAACCGTTACTCCGGGTCGACCAATACCTGTAGCCTAACATCGGAACCGCGAGCAGCTATAAAATTGAGTTTCCAGTTGCCTCGAAGGTCGATTAACGTCCAATCGAGCTCGAGCAACTCGATTATTTCCTGCAAATCGCTTTCCTAACGTCTTTGCGAAGATCGGGTTCCCCTCTCTTGTTCAGTCAACGATGTACCATGCCTTTGTCGTGATTACCTTCCTGCCACAAATTTGTCGAAACCCCGTGGAGTAACGGGATGGAGAGAAGAGTGTGCGTACGTGTGTGTGTATATATATATATAAAGGTAACCATTTTTCTGGAACATTAACCTGTCTTGAACAATTTTCCGCGTTATCCGGGAGCAATATCCCGTATTCCAACTCGGAAAACAGGTCTCCGAATAAGAAATAAATGAGAAAGGTATCGGAACTCGGCTCCGCAGAGGAAATTCGTAGGCGGAAAAATGGTGAAATCGGACGATGAACGATGGAAATGAAGGAATCTTACGCTTTTGTCGCCCAAGTTGCGAACCCTACACGTGAGATAAGCGGTCTTCCCTATCAGCGCTGTCACGTTCGTGTTCTGCGAGTAGTCGAACGTAGGCTCCACCTTCAGTTTCATGTTGGGTGGATCGAGCATCTGGTTCCGCGGTCTACCCTGACCACCGTGTCGATCCATGTTGTCCATCGTGCGATCTCCTAAGCTCAGCGTGTCTGCAACAACCAGAGGAGGGGGGAGAAAAAGATCGGTTAGTCAGAGAAATGTTACTTCTCTCGCCCTCCGCGAGAGCGAGGGGATGATCGAAAATTTTCGATATGGTAAAAATATACAATTTTCTTTCTTTTTCTTTCATTCTCGAAACATTCGAAATACGAAATCGAATGAATGGACGTTTTTAACGGGGGCGCGTGAAATAAATGGAACGCATCGAAAAATAATTTTTGCCCTTGGCGCACGTGAAAATTCGTCCACGAGTTTCGACGGATAATTGATTTTAAACATTCGGACATCGGTACGTACGTGTATTTCTGTTTAGTTTCACGGGGGAGTGACGGGTTAAATTGTCACGTTATTCCGCGCGGTCGTCGGAAATCAGATTTCGTATTCGACTATTAAATTTGCTTGTTCTTTCAATACCATTGGCATGGAGGATGTTTATGAAAACGCGAGTACCGCGTCCTAAATTTTCCTTTCCCCCGAAAATTCAAACATCGATAACTCTTTTATTATTGCATACCTCGAATATTAATGTTCCTTTATTTCATTCGCGGTGGTGGTAATCGTTGCCTCGTATTCTCCGTATCAAACTGGCGCGCGCGTGCATCCTTATAAAAGTTCGGCCAATAAAGATGGATTAAAAATTCACGAGCCTGAAATAGTCGCGTCCCGTCGAAGTTAAAGAAAATCGATCGGAATTAGATACGAAGATGCGAACGAACTTATCGATTCAACCCAATTTTCTGAAAAAATAGAATTTCCTCTTTTCTCCTATATTCATATATATATATAATACAATTACGAATGTTTGTGAATCATTGTTGCACGTGTTGTCCGTATTTATCTAGTTATTACCCTCGAGAAAGAGGAAATATTTGGAGAGAGATAACAGGGATAACTTTTATGCGATTCGTTAAAATAAGTTGTCTGGGAGAAGCTTTAAGAACGGGGTGCACCTTCAATAGGAAAAAGAAGCATAGAAGATTTCTATAGGAGAAACATAATAGGCTGGGATAGGCCAACCTGGAAGAGTATAGAAGTCGGGAAGAGATTAGATGGAATTAGATTAGATCAGAGCTCATTACGTTTCGGCTTAAGAGCGAATTAGATGGGGGAGCGAGTAGAGCTGAGAAGAGGAAATGCCTCTCCCCTCCCTCACCCACAGGAGGGGTTGTATCGTTGTTTTTCTCGCATCAATCCATCAAAGGAGGAAAGAAAAGTCGTCCAATACAGACCGACGCTTGAAACGCGTATGCGATAAGCTTACTTATTAATATACATGAATAAAACAGGAGTCCACCCACCACTATAGTTCCAACTATGCTAATTCCCCCTGCTCGACGTGCATTCCCCTTGGCAAGTAACTTTTTCAATCGAGCAATACGAAGGAAACCAGCCCCCCTTGCCTTGTTCCTTACGTAACGCGACTCTCTTGCCCGACTCTCCCCCTCCGTATCGAAGCAACTATCGCAATTTGCATGTTGATCTAACCTTTAATTGGGCCGCTCAAAAGCAAAGTTGATCAACGTCGCTTTATGAAAATTTCCTATTTTAACGTCAAAGCGTCACGTGTTCTCCACGTTACGCTTTCGGAAAGCAAATAATTAATTTTCAATTTTGCTAGGTTCAATTACGACTCTTTACGCAAGAGAAATAGCGGATTATTGGCAAATAAGGTTCGGAATTTAAGCGTATCGAGCGTGATCAATGGAATAACAAAAATAATAAAATCCTTCCCCGTAATCGTCGACATTTCTTGATATTTTATATGTGCTTTGCCACGCTTCCGATTTAATTAATTCTGTAGTAACGACCAAGCTGCGAGAGCTTATAACGAGCTTTTCCTCTCTCTCTCTCTCTCTCTCTCTCTCTTTGACTTTTCTTCCCTTTCTACGATCCTTCTTCCGCCTCTCACTTTACCTTACCTTTAGAATCCAGTTTCGCGCATCGAATTTTCTGGCAATGTGTATCACGGCCAACTATCGCCTCATCCCTTCTTTTCTTTCGTCGTCGTTAGAGCTCTCGAGGAGAGGAGAGGGGGGGATGAGCGAAATAAATTAAGAACGATGAAAATTTCGTCGACCCGGTCAAGTTTCTCGGATGGAACGATCAGTATTCATGGAATAACACGAATCTCGTTCGAGAGTTTTCAGGTCGCGGACAAAGGACGCGGTCTTTCTTCACGACACGTACAATTTACTGCCGATACTTCCATTTATCTTGATGAACACGTGATGGCCGAACTTTATTTCAGAACCTCATGAATATTTATTGACGTATGACTGCCATATAATGTTATGATCCTTCTCTCTCTCTCTCTCTCTCTCTCTCTCTCTCTCTCTCTCTATCTCCATCCAAGTGTATCACTTTATAAAATTCAGATCATAACGCAAACAAATATCGGTACGTTTTATGGGGGGGGAGAATCGTAATATCGATTCGCATCGGATAGCAATCGATTTCGATATCGACGATAGAAATATCTCGTGCGAAAGCGGACAAAAATAAAGGAAAAAGTAAAAAAATTTCTCTCCTTCGAATTACAATTTGATAATCTTCGAGAAATCGCGGCAAGTAAGATTTAGAAAAAAATGAAAGAACAAAAAAAAATCACCGACACGAATACAGATGTACACCTTTGTTCAAATCGGTTTGTCGTATTCGTGATTCACGCGACTCGGTATATCCGACGTACGAATAATACGGGAATTTATATCTTGTAAAGATATATTTCACTGGTTTCGAGTAAAGTTCGCAGTTATTTTCTCTCTCTCTCTCTCTCTCGCTCGACTCGACAAAGAAAGTTGGTGGCGAGTCGAGGCGGGATGGCCGTAATTGCCAGAATGATTGAACGCGGTTAGCATTCCTTATCACCGGTAAATCGCGCCTAATGGAAAATAACGGCGGATCTCGTTGGAAGTTCCATCCGTTGAAAATAAAATTACACCCGGCGGATTCGTGATAAATTGCAATGACAATTTTCAATGACTTATGGACGAGTGCGACAAATTGCGGCCCATTCATTTTCGCCCAGGTGAGAAAAAAACGGGATTCGACCGGTCGCGCTTGTTCCAGACCACTCTCTCCCCTCCTCTCTAACTTCTGGTAATTGGAGCTCGGCGTCACAAACCGCCGCGCCGCGTTTCATGTGGTCACTGGCTCTCGTTATGACGAACGCTGTTATCCCGGTATGTCGCACCGATCGTGTGACAAAGTTAATAATAACAAGGAATGAAAAATAATTGTGCGCGAAAAATTGCGCGTCGCAGATGGATAAAGTTTCGTCAATCTGTAATCATCAGTTTCGTGAACTGATACACTGTCAGGGAGCGGCACGAATTACATCATCGTTTACAACGCAGTCGATAAGTAAGATATTTCTTATACGATTTTGAACTCGTACGATCGAATGTGACGAGAATCTGTTCAAGTTCTCTCGCGCTTCCCAAACGATTTCCGTCGCCGCGAGAAAGCGAAACGAGCGAGGAATCGCTCTGGACAGGTGGTTCTTCGCTTAACCAACCACTTTTTAGTTCCACAATGGAAGCCCAACGTTGGATGACCGTAGTCACTTTTAGCGAGGGGGAGCCAAGTTGAGCGCTTCCGCGAAACGAAAAACGCCCATTACGACGGTCGTCGCCAAGACGCCTAGGAATTCGAGCGTTCTAATTAGTCGGGTAAGTCGTGGTCGAGAAAGAAAAGTGTTCAGCTATCCGTCTCAAAGAGAAACGATCCTCCCCCGTTTCCGAGGGAAAAAGGAACGGCCTCGTTGGAAATGGTTGAGGAGAGAAAAAATGTGGATGGATATTGCATAGCGATTATTGCAGTATCGTAAAATGTACCTGTAGGTAGATAGAGAGCGTGTAATGGTATCCCTCTGGATATTGAAAGCTCGCGGATCGAATAGGCTTTATCCTTGTATCCATCTTCGACGTACCATTCGCGATAACTTAATGCGGAAAATCGTTGGAAAAATACGTCGGCGTAACGACTATAACGTGTCTCCCGACGTGACTCTCGATTAAGTTCATGCACAAGTTGATGGAATTAACTTTGCAAGACCTATTACAGTCTGGCGTGAACTTCAAACGTGGCCTGTTTGCGGGTTAAAATGTTAATATCATTGTGCATGCACAGTGAGGAGGAGGATGGAACTCCAGAACTGGTTCCCCGGAGCGAGATCTTCAATCACGCGTAATTGAAATGCAAAACCTATTTCTCGAGTAGGATATCGAGTTTTCGGTAATTTAAATTTAAAACTTATATTTTTTTTTTCTTTCTTTCTTTCTTTTAGAAAGGAGATTTCACCCATAAGAAGATAACGCGATTGATTCGTTCTCGATCCGAGGCAACGTTGTCGTTGGTATCAAAGGATTCGGTCTAAAGGATTGGCGAGATTAAGGCATTTAAGGGAGTCCGGGTGTGCTCGATACCGTTCGCGTTTTGCCGCAATTTCCAAGCGGAAAGAGAGGATTTCCAGGTTTCGTCGTCCGGGGCGGCGATCCGAATATTTAGGTCTGTCCTCTCGAGGGAGAGATCGTTTCCCTAAGAGTTACGATCATATTTCGGGCTCTCGCAACTTGCACTTTCTGAATATACGTTGTCGACTAGCTCCTCGAGGAATTAAACGAGCGACGCGTATATCGTGTACCGTGAGATTGCACGAAACTTTGAAATAGCCATATGCTTTTCCATTCCTTCAACTTCGAGGTTCTTTCAAGGTTCTATGAAAATAAGTAGTATTTACGACAAAAACCAACGAACACGGTTTAAATCTAGTCAAAAGTCTGTCGACTGATTATCAAAGGATATCAACCAAAAAAAAAAAAAAAAAAAAAAAAAAAAAAAAAAAAAAAAAAACAAAAAAATAAAAAAATAAAAAACAATAAAAAGAAATATCCGTGGCTATGAAAGTGGCATTCTCCGATTTCAAAAGGATCTCTGTCGAAATATATTGTACGCTTCCGCTCTCCCTTTGATTTCCATGGAAAAAAAT